GTGGATGCTCTGCAGTGAATTGGAGCCGTCAGAATGAGAGTCCAAACAGCTGATAAAAACACCACAAGTAATCCACAGCACTCCAGTCCATCAGTTAACATCTTGGGAAGCCAAAAGCTGCGTGTTTGTAAGAAACAAATCCATCATTAAGATGTTTTTAACTTTAAACTGACGGCACCCATGCATTCACTGCAGAGGATCCATTGGTGAGCAAGTGCAACATTTCTCCAAATCTAAAGAAACAAACTCATCTACATCTCGGATGGCCTGAGGGTGAACACATTCTCAGCAATCATTTTTGGGTAAACTATTCCTTTAATATAAAACTTTGTAAAAACCTAAAGGGAAAGGGCATACCTGATGCTAATTTACAGAGTGTGACAGCATGCAAACTCCAAATGATCATATGATGAAACAGAGCTGCACAGAGAATAAAGCAAATGACACAGAATAGGACGTGACAACTGTTTATCACATCTGGGTGTTGCTGGCACAACAACTTGTTCGATTAATTATCTGTGGATTACACTTAAGCACCGTCATCAAAACGGCATTATTGCCACTGCAGTGACACCTCTGAGAAATGCCTTCATCAAAAGTTTAACATTTTAGAAACCACACCTAACATGTAAATGTCACTCAAACAGGAGCATAACACTTGCATTGCCAAGGTCATGGGTTTGATTCCCAGGGAAAGCAAGAACTGATAACAAAAAAAAAAAAAGTGTGCCTTGAATGCAATCAAGGTCGCTTTAGATAAAAGCGTCGACCAAATATATAGATGTAAAATATCATGTTTTGGAAAAGTTGTGAAAACGCCAACTTCAAAATGTCAATATAACTTTTTTTTTATCACAACAACAATGAGCTACAATGCTTGTGGAATGTTTTATTTTGAATTGAAAATAGCATAATCTGGACATCTGAATGACATGCCACAAAAACAGAGAAAACACCAAAATGAAACCACATACAGTAGTAATCTCTGGCTTTTGACAAAATTTGTATATATTTTAATGTTTAAATATATAAGCTTTTGGGTCAAAAGAGCAATTACTCTGTGTGTGTGTGTGTGTGTGTGTGTGAGATTTGCCACCATGGAAGCAATATTACATGATTAGTGTTGCTATCATTCGTGTACAATGTTGAGTGATTATTTTTAAAGTGTTTAACTAGTGATATTAATATCTGCATTTACATACACATTTCATAATATAAATATTAGCTCAATGCAAGTTTTTTTTTTTTTTTTTTTTTTAAGTGTGGGCTTTCTTTTTTTACATTTCATCCATATTAAGGATTTGTTTGGGTTTGTGGGGTGTGATCTTAATTTAGCATTTTAGATATACGTTTGTTTATTGTCTCACATGAAAGACAGCTGATATCACAGTTTGCCTAGGCTTGTACTCAAGATCTCACTGGAATCATTTCTCACAATCTGACAAGAAACAATCATAAAAGCAAGAAAAAGTTAAGTCATCCAGTGTGTATCCGTTTTTACGGGTTTCCTGTAAGAGTCCTATGAACTTGTTCAGTCAGTGTGTCCATTCAAAAAGCTTTTCCATTCACAATGTTGAAAGAATATGGATAATTACTTTAGTGTATTGTTTAGCAGTTGTGATAAATTGCCAGTTGTTTACACAGATTTGCTATTGTAAGCTGTTTGTTATTCAGTGAAATGATAGTGCATTGTATTTATTTAATACACGAGTTTCACAATTTGAGTTGAATTACTGAAATACATGAACTTTTCCACGACATTCTAATTTATTGAGATGCACCTGTACAATGCTACTGTGCTATACATATCATATAATTAATATAGGATCACAAAGTGTAAAAGAACCTGCCAGGTGTGGAAATAAGTTTTATTTCTGTCATTTGTTTTGATTTGTGGTGGCTAAACCAAAGTTTTATTGGTGACAGTTTATGGAGAAGGTAAAAAAAAAAAACCACACACACACATTACTTTTTTTAGGAATCATCAGGGTATTACAGAAAATACTGTGCAGAAGACATACTGCGTACTTCAAAAACAGTGCGTAAAGAATGGTAGAATGCCACTGGAAACACCGCCCATTATCCTTCGGTGACAGGAAATGCTGGCGCGGGCGCGTGAGTACTGACAGAGCTCTTCTCCAATGGGAGCCGCGGAGGGGAAGGCGCAGCTCGATCCTCTGACTTTACTACGAAGGTGAAGCGCAGCCAAGGCAATGGAGAGGAACCGCGTCAAAATGCTCGTGTAATGTTTGAAGAAAAGTAAGGTAAGGATTGACAAGAAACACTTGAAAAGTTGCACTTTGGGAAAAAGGTTTAGTGTTTTCGAAATGGCATCATAGAAAAAGTTTTGGCGACCCAAGGCAGCTCATATAACTGCGCTCTGGGAGCTGCGCTTGTCCGATGTAGTGAAGATAAACAGTTTCTCATGCTAAAACCTACATGTTTTAAGTCTTCACATTTGAAAAACTCAAATAACGTCGTGTGTACAGTAACTAGCAGCTCGGTAGCTGTTAAATACGTGTTTATGTTTTATGCGCAGTAATAGGATTGTGGATTAGAGGAACGCATACAGTAAGTAACTCGTGTACTATATTAAATCTGTTTATCCTACAGCTGTTAAAAACGGGGAAATTGACTGGAAAATAAAAACCCAAATACTTAAAAAAAATAAACACTTTTAGAAATATATTTTAAACGATATCATCTATCTATCTATCAAATTTTTTAACATTTTAAAATGTTAAGTCTTTGAAAAGTTGTTTTTCTTGCATTATACTTTTAATCATTTTTTTTATTTCTATTTATCTAAGTAATCATCTTCATCAATAATGTAACCAAATATGATCGTCTTAGGAAAGAAGTAACTGTATTGACAATAGTAGGCTGTGCAAAGGGCAATGTTGTGTCCTTGTGTCACATGACTAAATCCCTGCTGCATTATAGAAGAGAGCATGGACAATTGTAACAGTTTTTGGTTTTTCACTCTTTGATTTTGATTTAGCCTCAAACAACATATTAGCAGTCATTACCTGTCAATTAAATGTAAAACGTGCAGTTATGCAATTAAACTAAACGTACACCGTTTGTAGCACTGATTATAACTGTAATAGATATTTTGATAAATGTAGCAGTCACATTTTTAATTGCCTTTTTAGCATTCAAAAGCTTAAACACTCAAAATTCATCCTATCCTGTGAAAACAGTTTTGAAATCAGATATTGTTTTATCATGGAATGATTTAATTCTTTCAGCGGCTCCTCCTACTAGTGGGCGGTGTCAAGCGTCATATTACAAAATGTACTAGAATATTTTAGAATCAAAACTTTGGTAACACTTTATTTTAAGGACCAAATTTTAGCTATTAATTAGTTGCTTATTAGCATTCATATTACTAGCATATTGACTGTTTATTAGTACTTATAAAGCACATATTAATGCCTTATTCTGCATGACTATATTTTAGATCCCTTAATCCTGCACCATACCTAAACTTAACAACTACCTTACTAACTATTAATAAGCAACAAATTAGGAGTTTGTCCAGGGAAAACTCTTAGTTAATAGTGAATATGTTCCCTATTCTAAAGTGTTACCAAAACTAGTTCTAATCTAGACAAAACACATTGTTGAAAAGGTTTGAGTCTACAGTGTTCCATATTTGGTGTTTATTTTGTGATAGAAATAATACTGTGACAGAAATTTCAAAATGTGACAGGAAAGTGCATCAAAAAAAAATCTATGGAGTTTGGGTGGCTACTTTTGGTATAGCACCTAATCAAAATTTCACGGGAACCTACATTTTTGTGATATCAACTTCAAATTTGGAACATAACTCAGTTTTAGACATATGACTTTGATGATGATTATTATTATTATTATTATTATTTTAGCAATTTTAGATTTGAAAAATGCATGTATTATAATATTTATTGTAAATTTAAAAATAGTGTGGTACATCCTTATATACCGTAAACTTAAACTTCTGTAACTTTTTTACACTTACTTTTTTTTATGTTTTCATGAATTACAACCATCCAAGTTCAGAGTGCATTTTATGTCTAATGGACATATTTTAAGATTTAAGAGTTTAAATGTTATATGAGACAACATAAACAATCAAGACAAATAACTTATGGAAAATGCATTACATTCTTTCTCTTCTTTACTCCAATGTGCTTTCATAAGCACAGCAGCTTGTCAGTTATGGTGGACTTTGAATAGAATTGTTTTTATGTCTATACATAAGGCAGAATGAGACAGCCAATGCTTCTAATCTTCTGGACAGGTCTTTGTTTTTAAATTGTTTGGGAACAGTGTCTCCAGTCATATGTGCTGGATCTCTTTGCGTATTGTAATCTTGGATAATCTCTACACTTGTTGCACAGTCCAAACTCTATAGATTGCTCTTGAAAAACTCATTAAATACAAACCACTGTCTTAGTTTCCACATCTGGCCTTGCTTTATCCAGGTATTAGGAACAGCATCTTCTCAAGAAGCTGAACCCTACATGGAGAACATCTGCCCAGATGTGCGTTCCTCTGGTCTCGAATGTGTATATACAGTAAATACTAGAAGCGGAATGCAAACGTGAGAAAAACATGTTGAAAAAAAAGCCTCTAAATGCAGGAAAGCAATACTCCTGCAAATTTAGTTTGGCAGTGGAATGCGTGGCTCCAACCCCTCTCTCCACTCTATAACCGAATCCTCTCTGGCTTTCCGACCTGCCAAGTTCTGTTCCTCATTTAGCACACTCATTTCCAATGCATATTTCAGCATGCATTATGAGTGGCTGTAATCAATTTCAAATTAAACTTGAGTGCTCTTTGTTCTGTCAGGGGAAAAGGGCCTCAGCGAAGGGGACGTGGTCGACTATCTCGCTGGCACACTGACAGTGTGTTGGCTCTCGGCTGCTCCAAGATTTAGCCTGCTTGAGGCCCTAGATGGGATTTCATACATTGTGCTTAGGCTGCCTAAATGTTTTCATATGTATTTGCTCAAACTTAGGTTCCCTGTGAAAAAATATATATACACTAAATAGTTACTGGAGTTTTTGTAATTTTCCTTGAAACTCTAATGTGAGTGCAGGGTGAGTCATTGCAGAAGAGTTCAAGTTCATTAAGGATTTGTTTATGAGTTGAAAGTGTCAAGGCCTAGTGAAGCCCTACAGTTGGGAAATGCCGTAATTATACTGAAATAGAGGCCGCTTGTCCTGGTCTTTGATGTCCAGTTGATGAAAATCAAGGACATGGCACGTTGTGCAAGAAGTGCATTTATTCTTGTGTTTTGAATATCAAATTCACGTTTTTGTTCTCTCAGTACACATTTAGTTTTTTCTCTAATGAAATGATCCACATGCTCTGTCCTTGGAAACCACAGAATGACATCAGACATGAGGTTTTTGCATATGTGTGCTCGATGGTCACCTGAAAATATTTCCATCTGGCATTTCAATTGCATTATCTGTTCTGATTTTTCTATATGTTGGATATATAAAATGCATCACTGTTTCCACAAAACTATTAAGTAGCACGGTTACAATAAGGTTCATTAGTTAGCATTAGTTAACTACTTTAGTTAACATGAACTAAGCATGAACAATACTACAGCATTTATTAATCTTAGTTAATGTTAATTTCAACATTTACTAATGCATTATTAAAATCAAAAGTTGTGCTTATTAACATTAGTTAATGCACTGTGAATTAACATGAGCAAACAATGAACGACTGTTTTCATTAACTAACATTAACAGAGATTAATAAATACTGTAACAAATGTATTGTTAATTGTTTGTTCATGTTATTTAATACATTAACTAACATTAACTAATGGAACCTAATGGAATGTTTTCAACATTGATGATAATCAGAAATGTTTCTTGAGCATCAAATCAGCATATTAGAATGATTTCTGAAAGATCATGTGACACTGAAGACTGGAGTAATGATGCTGAAAATTCAGCTTTGATCACAGAAATACATTACATTTTAAAATATATTCAAATAGAAGACAGTTATTTTAAATTGCAGTAATATGTCACAGTTTTACATTTTTTTTTTGTCTATGCAAATTTGTATACATCACTGTGGGCAAGAGTCAACAACATTTTCTGTCCATTTTCCAAAAAAGAAAAGATGTTTTGAATGTGTATATCGGCTTTTAGGAGTGTACTCTATAGATGCTTTTAAAGCTAACTGCCATGGACTGAAAGTCTCAAACTGTCAGTCATTAATTATGGGGTTTATTCTCACAAATCTTTCATTCTTCTTGATTCAGTTTAGTTGAAAACAAAAATCTTTAATTTTATAGTTGGAATTTTGTTAGGACGATCAAATCTGTGAAACATTTAGTGGTTAAAATAGACCCAACGCGCACCATTTAGTTTGTTGTCCACTAGCCGCACATTTTATAGTGTATTTCATCTTTCTCCATTTTATATAAAGCCTAAATGGTTTTTAACGAGAGGCAGATCTTTTCCACAAAATGGTATCTGGAGGCACTCTGCTAACGTAAAGCCATCTAATATGTTTAATTTTCACACTTAAAATGCTATCTACAATACTTTTTCTCAAAAGGCAATAAAACAACCAGAATCTTCTAAATATGCACACATCTTTTGTGTCTTTCCCCGAGACCCCTGAGTGGAACATAAACATATTCAAACTATGTTTTATGACATGTCCTGAAATAAAGCCTTAATCAGCCTGCAAGAAGAGTTTTGTAATAGCATGTGTTGATAGTGACATTTTTTTAGTTGTTGATGTAAAAATTAGACACACATTGGACTTGGCAATGCAACAAGTTTGTGTCAGACTCTGGGCCAGGTTTTGTGTGTCTTTGCTCCCTATGTGCTCCGTCTTCCAGTTTCTCTGTCTCGTGTTTTGAATTCATTGTTCCCAGGTGTTTCCTATGTTGATTGTCTTATTAGTTCCAGGTGTCCCTTGTCTTCCCCTCATCAGTTCCTGTGTATTTAAAGTGTGTTCTAGTTCTTGTCCTTTGTCAGTCGTTGAACGTCATCCTGATGTGTCGAGTCCTGTGATCCCCAGCCTTTGTTAATAAAACCCTTTTGATTTATTCTACTCCGTGTCTCCTCGCTCCTTCGTTCCCGTGTTCCTCGTGTGTGTGCACCGTGACAGTTTGCTAGCAGTCCATTTTTTTCTACTAATGTTTTAAAATGATAACATATATATATATATATATTTACAAGTAGATTAAATTTTAAATAAATTAATTAAACATTTTTTTAGTTCTTAGGAAATAATG